TAGTATTGTAGTTCGTTAATAACAAACTATCGATAGTATCGATACTGTCGATTTTATTTGCAACCATACTATCGATAGTTTAACAATTTGCAATAGTATTGTTTACAATTTTCAGGTATTATAGTCAATCACAAACTTTAGTCTAGAACAATCGCTAGTGTCGATACTATCGATAGTATTGTTGCAGATAAAATCAACACTATCGATAGTATCGATACTATCAATAGTTTGTTATTAACGAACTACAATAGTATCGATAGTATCGATAGTATTGCACTCATTCGATAGTATTGCCTTGTTCTGAGCTATCGATAATATCGATACTATCGGTAGTATCGATTCTATCGATAGGCTACATGATTTTCGATGTAAACTGTCGATAGTTTTAATATCGATAGTTCGTCAACACTAATACAAACTTATCATTTGAGTAAGTATTTGGTTTAGAAGTTAGGTACTTAGATTGTGCAGCAAGAAACTATATACCGCATACCGCAGGTCAAGATACCCAAAATTGTATTTTTTTTTCAATTTTAAATTAAATTTTATGGTAATCGACATAAGGTTCACAATTTATTGAGAAAAAATTACAGTTTGTGCTAACTTGATGTGTGGCTAATCGCAGCAGTGTGAACTAATCATACATTTTATAATAATTTGGACAATCTTAAGTAGTTACACTAGTGTAGTTGTTAAGGACTTGGTAAATTTAATTTTTTTTTATACTGAATATTATATTTTGGCCACTAGCAATAAATATAATCTGCCTAGAGTTTAGTGGTTAGCAACACTATTCTTAAGCCTATATTTCATTACATTTAAAAAGCCAACTTTCATAATGCTTTCTATTACAAATAATAATATATTTCAGATTGAAGAATGACTTACCTAAAATGCATTAGGTTTAGTGCATAAGCATCTCCGTTAATAATAAAAGTTTAATTCATTATTTGAAGAAAGATTAATTAATAAATAGTTTTTGATGAACAACACCTATAAGTAGCTCTTTATTGAACTATTCGAGTTAAATTAAAATATTGTATATAAACATGCTTATAAGTTGGCCGAGCTTTATTGAAAGGGTAAAAGTCTGAATAATTTTATATCCTCATTTTTAGCTATTCGTTGAAAGCATTAGAGAATGAAAATGCTTGTCTGGAAAGCTTAATAATAAAAATATTTATTGCGATGGACTGCGTTCTCAATTGTAAGCATTAAGTGCAACAAATGTCAATTTTGATATAAGTTTCATACAATATATGTCAAAATTGAAACTTCAGCATAAGAAGTTGCGCTCAGAGCGTAGGTTTGACCGCAAGTCAGGAGGTCAATTGCCTACCGGGATTGCTATAGCGATCGCTATCGCTTTCGATATCATATTGTTATTTCTGACCCACGAAGGTTTTCAAATTCCTTACGCTCATTTCTTAATTATTATTATTAGCAATGCAAAAGAAAAAATCGAGCGTGCATTTTGAAACCTTCAGCGGTCAGAAATATAAAAATGAAATCGTAAGCGATAGCGATAGCCATAGCAATCTCGTGAGGCGATTGGCCTCCAGATATAATGTAAATCCGTTGTATTAATGAGAATATGCATAATTCGGCCCCGAAATTGTAAAGAGAATCAAAAGTGCATGAGCTCACCAAACGGCGATAAATCTCATTCTATTTTAAACTTTATGCATTAATGGATAAGGCTAAATATGGATTGCATAAATTCCTAAAAGAAATATTATTTAAAAAAATTAAAAATCTTTTGACAGATCTCCCATCCTATTAAATGTAAATCCAATGCTTCGTGTATTCATACAATCTAATTTTATAACATACCTATCTATCTATTTTCTCTCATAGATCGGTATGTTGGTAGAAAATTCTCGATAAATGATAATTATGTGCAACTTTCGATGGTTTTCCTGTATTAATTTATTACAGATTCATTATGCCATCACTAAATGCATCCTTATTCGTTGGCCGGGGTAATCGGGAATTGCCTGCCAAATTGATATTGACGCCTAACATGATTAAAGCAAAAGCGACACATTATACCATATCCACATTGATAACGGAGACATGAATAGAAAGATATCTCAACTAACTTTAAATATATGTATATAACTTTTTTTTTTGTGTTTAATATACAGTCAAAACCGAATATAACGACATCGTATATAACGACGTGTCGGTTATCACGACAATTAGGCAAGGTCCTGACCGAAACCCTATATAAACCCCTACGTAAACAAACCGCCTATAACAACACCGGATATAGCGAAATATCGCTTGAAACGACTTATACCCAATGAATATTATTGATAATTTGTTTTTTGTTTGATTACAATTGTTATTTAAAATTTAATAGTTATTACAATTGTAGGCTGTTGAATACGTTTCATATGTTTTAACGAAACTAATAGTTTATATACACTTTGTATACATACAGTAAACTTATTCAATAAGTTTACTGTATGTATACAAACTGTATTAGCGAAACAATATAAAATCAAAATGTCTGCCATAATAAAGTCTATAGGAGTTATAAGCTATGAAAACTATCAAATATAATTGTTTCTCCTACAAGTTATTTATATATTTGTAAATCCCAGTGCGTGTTTATTTCTTTATTTATACTAGGTACAATTTTTTTTTAATTATAATTTGAAGAATATAATATCAACAATGTTTCTTATGATTCAGATGTGTGCTTATTTATTGAATAAAAATTAATGTTGTTACCTAAACATATTCTGTAAAATTGTTCTTGATTATAATTATTTATTTTTATAAGGGGTTTAGAATAATGATAGTATTATAAGCATCCTTGTAGAACTAGCAAAATATAGTTGCTTCGCTTAAAAGGGAAATGAAGGCACACAGATTGATATTAATATATCAGATAAATGAAATAAAGTTGTTCAAACATTCCGTACATTATCTAATAATAATAATAATGTAACTTATATTTTATTATATTACCTTAATAATTAAAAAACTTCTTTGAAAAAGTTGGTAGGTACTAAATTTGGCTTGTTCTACGAGTATAGTTAGAATAAATTATTTTCTAAATTTATTTAAAGCTTTTATTTATTTTCCATAATATCATGTGGTCTGTAATGTATTTAAAATTAATGTATAGGTATAGCTTTTTTATATGAAAGCAATAAAATCACTCTGCTGCAGTCACATTGTGATGTTAGATATTTGTCGTTTTATTTTAATATTTGTTTTTATTATACGAAACAAGATGAAACCCATTTCAAAAGGAAGAGAACGCATTAAAGTACAATACAATACAATACACAATACTTTATTGAAAACACCACAACACAGAACAGAAATGAGGGACATTACAATTGTAAAAAAAAAGAGTGCTTCAATGGGCGGTCTTATCGTTAAAAGCGATTTCTTCCAGACAACCTTTAAGTAATATAGTCTAAGAGCCCACGACAGTAAGCCTAGTCCGATAGAGTAGGTACCACATGATCATCATCATCATCAGCCTATTAATGTCCCCACTGCTGGGACACAGGCCTTGCCTATGGATGGAATAGTGAGATTGGGCCATGACCCACCACACGGGCCCAGTGAGGATTGGTGGGTGCTAACGACTGTAGATGCAGCCGGGACCAACGGCTTAACTTGCCTTCCGAAGCACAGAAGAGCTCGAGATAGTAATTTTTGGTCACCCATCCAATGATCGACCACTGCGAAAGTTGCTTAAGTTCAACGATCGCAGCCGAACGCGCTAACCACTTGCGCCATCGAGCTCCTCGATACCACATGATATATATACAGATTGTTCCAAAACTTTGCCACATGGAGGGAAAGAACCTCAATATTGTGCTAACATAGAAAGTTTTGCTAAAAGAAGATTATTTAAAACATTAAAAAAAACGGGCTACTTTCGAGGTATTAAATAAACACGCAAATCTGAGTCGGTAGTAAATATACACTTAACCCCCTTTTTAATAAACGAATAATTAGCTTGCATTAGTTACTCCATATTTTGTCTCTGGTCATTGAATGACAAATGACACTTGAGTGTTATGAACATAAAACGGCGTTACTAGTCTAAGCTTATTCTTCGTTTATTAATAAGGTGGTAAATGTAAGAAAAAAATTACCGGTAATTTTAGTGTACCGATCGAAAGGTACATTTATTTCTTCTAAGTGATACAGTATATATAAAATAAAAAGAAGCTGATTCAACTGACTTAATGTATTACTATAATATCACTTGGAAACTTTTCCTATTAGGGGTCTACCACATAACTATAAATTGGCATTAACTTAGTGTATATTTTACCTTTTACGACCACCGTAGCCGAGTGGTTTGTACGCTGGGTTTCAAGGTGTCGCCTCCTCGAGAGGTCCCAGGTTCGAGTCCCGGTGGGGGCAAATGTTTGTGTTATGAATACGAGCATTTGTTCTCCAGTCATGGATGTTTAATATAAACTTATGTATTCTATCCGTTACCCCAGCATCTCATAACGCAAGATTTACATTGCTTACTTTGGGCCTAGGCTAATTGGTGTGTGTTGGAAATATTTATTTATTTATATCCCAAACACGCTCTATTTTTTTTAAAATTTAGATATATCAAGGTAGAAACCCTATTTTCAATCGAGTCTTCGTTCACAGTGAACTTGGTAAGTAACCTAGTCCAAAGTTCACTTCAATTTGGATAGGTATTATAATTAGCAAATTAAAATAAGAACCATTATGCAAGGTAAGCCTTCATACATTTTTTGCATTTATTTAAGGTTGACTGGCAGGGAATTCTTTTAGCGTTCGCCTTTTGTCATAGTTTTGTAATTGTGGTAATAAAGTTTAAATAAATACATTTTTTGACTTTCACATATGCTTGTTTTAGCCTAAACGGAATAAATGAATATTGAATTCTAATACATTTCATAAATACAATTACCGTAGGCTTGTTTATTAAAGGCAATAAATTAAACTGAATTAATAATAAAATAAGTAATGTTTATCCATTTTTAATGATATTCCATATAATTATCATAAAGTATTTTTGGGAATCTGATCAAGATGAAGTAGATAATTTCTGCAATAGCGACGAACGAGAACCCCATGAAGATTCCAGCAAAACCACCAATGTTACCTGAAATACAATTCATTAGAACCTTAATAATATATAGGTGCCTATTTTCCTTAAAAATATTATAAATTCAAAAGAGTTTCACTGACTGTTTAACGTCTAAACTAGGTCTGTGGCCTAAACCGCTTTTTATTTTTATTTTTTTTATTGACAAAGATTCACCAACAACATATAATTTTACATTACAATTTGAATATATATATTTATATACCATACTTAAAGATATGCTTTTTTATAGGTGCATACAGCATTCACATAAATACAAATAAACTACAATGACAGATTAAACAAACAAAAAATATACCTATCCACCATCATGAAAAGCAGGTATACTGAATTATAATATTATTTAGTCTGTACTAGCAAACCCGGCGAACTCCGTTTCGCCACCAGATGGCTTCGTTTTATGTAACATTTCGTTTGGTGATTAAAAGATTTTTTTTTTAATTTTTCCTGAACTTTCTTTGCTATAAACCTCACGAAGCCCGAGACCTTTCCAACGAAAGCAAAACCGTGGAAATCGGTTTGTGCGTTCTGGAGTTATAGCGTCAGGAAGGAAAACCCGACTTATTTTTATATAGTAGATTACGGTAAAATTTTATTTTTTCCACAAATAACCTCTTATATACGCGCTCAGAGTCGTGGAAAACGTCGACAACCGATTTTGATATAGAGATAGAGAGGATAGCAGAGCCGTCCTTAATAAAGGCTTTTTTTATTTCATGACAAGAAGTGGTTGTGAGTGTGAATGTTTTACTGATTATTGTACGTTAATGGCGACGAAGTCCCTATTAGTAGGTCCCTGTGGAATATTTATTTTATTTAATCTGTTTGATAGATTATGATGTAGCGCCTGATAAAAACGTCATCATTGTCATCACCAGCCTATTAATGTCCCCACTGCTGGGGCAAAGGCCTTCCCCTATGGATGACATAGGGAGATTGGGCCGTGACCCACTACGCGGGTGCAGTGTGAATTGTTAGCTGCTAACAACTACAGATGTAGCCGGGACCAACGGTTTAACGTGCCTTCCGAAGCACGGAGGAACTCGAGCTAATAAGTTTTAGTCACCCATCTAATACCAAAAATGTTTTTCTTTTTTTTGATAGCCAGTTAGGCAAATGACTCTACCTCTACCCCACCTGTTGTTAAGTGGTGATAGAGTCCAAACGCGAAGATAGCTGGTACAGCAGATATAAACTGCCACACCAACCATCATCACCTTGCCGGCTTGCAAAAATGCTTCTTCACGCCTCTCTTAAAGGACCCCAGATTGTAGGAAGCAGGGAATTTAACTTTTACGATCGCAGGCCGAACGCGCTATCCACCTGCGTCATTGAGCTCCGCTGATCTAATGAGCTAAAGACAACGTAAACTATCACTCACTGACGACTTCAAACCAGTATGAGATAACATCTAGGCGATCCAAGGTACAATCGTCTGTGGGCTGGAAGATAGCCACGATAGACTTGTTGACAAGGTCCAACTGTTTTCTGTAATAAAAAGTAGGTAGGTATGTGATTCAGCGTCCCAACTTTAAAATACTTAAATCAGTGATACCATCCATCATCACAAAATCAAAATAGCTAAACGCTTACCTATTTAAAATGAATTTATACGAACAGCCTAAGAACAGTGCTCAGTGAACAATGATGGTCTACCAAATCAATTCATTGTTCTTTCTACATTCGTACCTATTTCAACCTATTAAAAATTTGGTGTAAAATACTCAACTCAAATTAAACTCATATAATCAGTCTAGGCTGTTACAAGCTCTTGTGAAAGTCAAACGCTACGCCATCCGTTTGTAAATCTACGGGCGGCGGGAGACCTTGTACTGAGAAGAACCGGCAAGAAATAGGAAGGTAATAATACTTGGAAACTTGAATTAAATAAGTACCTAAGGTCTCAGATTACAGAACGCACAAAACACCCAAGTGCGGTCATTAAAGCAAATACGAAGTCAAAAGTTTTTACAATGTTTGAACAAGGCGGCGCAGCTTTAAAAACTTAATATTCATCTGACGTATTCACAAGCACAACACGCCGCGACTGGGCGCACCTGCGTGTTTCGTGCGGTCTATCTGCCTTTTCTTCTGTAATTTGAAAGTAAGAGATTGATCACCTGAAAATAGTCTTCAAATCTTTGTTGCCAAACTCGCTCAGATTTGATAGCTGTAAAGACATGGGGGACTTGAACGCCCGAGTGTAGTGCTGGGTAAACTCGCAGTCGGGGAGGCACTCTGGGCAGTTCATGGAATCTTGGGTTTCTGTCTCTAATCCTTTTTTAGTTTCAGCTCCTTTAGGGTATTGGTAAAGTAGCTTTTCTGGAACATTATTTTATTTTCCATACATTATTTTCAACCACGTACCTACCTACTAGGTAAATCTTTGAACTCTTCCCCATTTGCCCTTGCCGAATAAATTAATATTTACTTTTTAATTAATTAATAAAAAAATGTATCGATTCTAAGGTTGTATAATGTTAGAGAAGTGTCGATTCTGGCCTGATTGGCAACAGTGTATCCTTGTCATACTGTACTGAACGAAAAGGAGAGGCTGATGTTAAATTTAGTTTTAAGTTTAGAGAATCGTGCCAGAATCGACACCTTTATCATATTTTAAGTAATAGGGTTCAGAGAGTCGTAACCTTTAATCAATGGTGGAAAATTTCCAGCTTCGTCGGTTAAGAAGAGGATTTCCGCAGGGCTCAATCCTTAGAGTCCTCCCAAACGTAGGGGGACTAGGAGATGCTTGCCGTCGACTGTACCACGGGGTGATACGGTCGATGGCACTTTATGGAGCTCCGGTTTAGGCTGAGTGGCCCTGCTGCGACGACCGCAGAGGATCATTGCGACCCGAGCTGTGCGAGCGTACCGCACGGTCAGCCATGGCGCCGCCTGCGTACTCGCGGGTGCGACGCCGTGGGATCACGATGCGCAGGTCCTGGCAGACGTGCATCTAGGTCGGGTCGAAGCTAGGGAGCGCGGTGAAAGACCTGCTCCAGCAGAGCTGCGGCAGGTCCGTTCCATCGCGCAGGTAGAGGCCATGCAGCGTCCAAGTGAGCGCCAGCCACCGGACGATTGAGGCCATTCGTCCGGTGTTGGAGGAGTGGGTGGGTCGCCGGCGCGGCGGCCTTTCGTTCTGCATGGTGCAGGTACTGACTATTACCTACCTTTGTACTTATTGAGGCAGGCGAGATTGTCTAGGTGACATATTGACACTCCCTTCCCCGCGGGAAGGTAGTACGGCGTGCACTTGCATAGCGATTGCATTGTCCTAATACGGCAGTTGATGATGCAAGCGCTGTAGGAGTACATGTTGCCGAATTGCTTTTGCTCATCGTGGAACAAGCACTTCCTCTGAAACAAGAACTTGGTTGCTGAAGATCCTATCTATCATTACAATACCCCCAAGATACGATACTTGAGTGGAATACTCGTTCACGACTCGAGGTCCGCTGATAATGCTCCTGAAAATTATGTAAATTGTATCATTAAATTTTAGTCATTAGAAGCACACGCTTCGTTCTCGCCGCCATTTTGAGGAGTGGCATAGAAGACGCGACGTGCGGATGATCAACTCTACAGATTAGTCGCTAACGCGTACAATCACCGCTCACGTACACGATATCTCGAACCACTTGGGTCTAGTGCGAGCACGAGTTCCATCCATTTGCTTGAGACATGTGTCTGTGAACTTCTTTGTGAAAAATAGTTATTATAACTCTTCGGTGGACGGTTGTTTGAATTCAACATTAAACGGTGAATTGTCTTTTTTATTCAATTTGTACTTAATACATATAACAATAACAACCAAAATTAAACACTTTTGTTATTATTGGTTAATATTTCCTTTCTTACTTTTCATTCTCAACAATAAATCAAACATCTGGATACGTAGGTATGCGTGCTACTCCATTACCACTTTTGTGCACAAGCAAAGTTGACAATTCTAGCGCGATCGCCGAGCGAAAACAAGTAAATTTCGCAGCGCCCGAGATTCATTCATTGGGTGGTGACCAAAAATAAATTTTGACGAGCTTCTTCGGGAGGCAGTTGAAGCCGTTGGTCCTGGCTACATTATGTAGTCGTTAGCACGTACCAATCCACTCTGGACAGCGTGGTGGATCATAGCTCATTCTTTCTATTCCATCAATAGGGAAGGCCCGGACAGTGGGGTAATTGATAGGCCGGTGTTGATGATGATGATAATGATCCTCTAAGGGCATGCATACTGGGTGAAATATAAACTATAGCATCTTACTGTATGTACTTGTTATGATTGTATTTATGGTTTGTCTTAAAGACAGCATTAAAACTATTGAAAGATAAATTTAAGGGAGCTTTGCTGGAGTCCGAATTCAAACTAAACTTAAATCATAAAAGACGATTGTGAGAATACATGATGGTGTATTTCCACAATCGCTTCCTTCCCTTACCGTTTCGAGGGGATATCTGCGGACTTCATGAGTGGCGTATTGCTTGACTGACTTCAGATGCAGCAGCATGACTTGGTTGGGTTCGATCAAGCGGTGAATTACGCGCCCACCGCTGGGGTCCGCGAAATGTGTGGGATCGAATAAGAATAACTGGGAAATAAATGGAAATTATCAGTAAGCTCTTGTGGCACCCAAATAATACATAATTCTGTTTGTCTGCCAGTCTGTTGCTAGTGTAACGTGTGACCGTTTTTAACAAATTTTTGGGGGCTTTTCAATTCAGCATGACTTGTAAAAGTTTTTTTTTTATTGGCGGGATAGCTATCCTGTACCTTCTTTATGATATTTCGGCACTGCTGTAAGCACCATGATCATGGAAAAACTAGGTACATGGTAACAATGCCGTTAATAACAAAAATCACTGTAATATTAGTAAACATAAAAGTTTATAACAGCACTAGCGGTCCGCCCTCGCTTCGCTTTGGTGTAGAGCTGAAGTGTTGACTACAGTTTTTGTTCTCAGGCTGGTATTATACACAATGCCATTCATCTATGATTCTTCTTATACCTGCATGCAAAGTCTCAGCCCGATCGGTTTAAAATTGACAAAGTTTCATACAAACTTTCATTCCCTATTTTATCCCTTTGGGGGTAGAATTGATCAAAATCCTTTCTTAGCGGATGCCTACGTCATAACATCTACCTGCATGCCAAATTTCAGCCCGATCCGTCGAGTGGTTTGGGCTGTGCGTTGATAGATCACTATGTCAGTCACCTTTGAGTTTTATATTATATAGACTAGCGACCCGCCCTCGCTTCGCTTCGGTGTAGAGCTGAAGTGTAGACTACAGGTTTTGTTCTCAGGCTTGTATTATATATGTTACCGGCCAAACCCGATTTCAGGACAAACTAGTTTTGCCTAGGCTAAACTGGTTCTTCCTATGCGCGATAGGATTAACTAGTATAGCCTAGTCCAAACTAATTTGTCCTAAGCCCGATAGGATAAACCAGTTTAGCCTAGGCCAAACTAGTTGATCCTGATAAAAATACGCATACTCTAGGATAAACTAGTATGGCCTAGTGTAAACATTATAGTATATCTAGAAAGTCAAAATAAATAGATAAACTGAATAAAATAATCCGTAATTGGAAAAATAATATTTTTTATTAAAACCATAATGATTCATCGTTACAAGTTATGGATAATTAGTAATACAAAGAAAAGTAAGAAAAGTTTAATTTTTCTAGTAAACTTTTCTTTAGATTTAAACACCTAGCAGTTAAATGCTTAAAAATAAATAAAAACACTAACTATAATTGCTATTTCTTCTTTCAAACGTTTAATACTTGAAAAAGTATTCATTTGACATTGTGGGTTGCGTGGTTGCAACCTACAATGCGAAGAGATGGCGCTGCCTTGCAGCTTAAGGCTAGGAAAATTTCGACGCGGCGAATAGGGCCGTGGTAGCATAATGGTCAGTGCATTCGCCCGGATTGCGAAGGGTGCGGGTTCGAGTCCGGTCCGCTGCCTGGTCTGCGTGGTTTTTTTTTCTAGTAAACTTTTCTTAAAATATTTTGAGTTTACAGTGAGATGAATTGTAAAAGGTTCGAATGATTCGGAATTTCTTAAGCCGGGTAGTTACTCATTGGCGAGCTGTAACCATAACCGTTGCACGCACTGTAACCAAAAAGCATAGTGTGTACGTGGTTCGATAACCTGCTGCGAGAACGGTACGCGTGCGGTTTGAAGCGAGCCAACGTTCACAACTGAGCTACTAGCGTACACACTAGAACTTCGTACTGTATCACGCATGTTACGGTAACAGATCGCTAATGCGTACCCGGCTTTACTGTCTTCCGAACTCCCGGCAACAACAAAAGAGTTAAACAAAAACCAATTACAGAAAAAACACTCCCTCCACTTTCTTCCAGCGTTCTTTTTACATGACGCGCCCTGTACAAGTCCTGACATGTTTGTTCAATTACTTTCCGCTTTGCTAAATTGGTTTAGACTAGGTCGTACTAGTTTATCCTAGAGTGTGCGTATTTATATCAGGATCATCTAGTTTGGCCTAGGCTAAACTGGTTTATCCTGTCGCGCTTAGGATAAATTAGTTTGGACTAGGCTATACTAGTTAATCCTATCGCGTATAGGAAGAACCAGTTTAGCCTAGGCAAAACTAGATTGTCCTGAAATCGGGTTTGGCCGGTAACATATACAATGACATTCATCTATGATTCTTCTTATACCTGCATGCAAAGTTACAGCCCGATCGGTTTAAAATTGACAAAGATTCATACAAACTTTCATTCCCTATTTTGTTCCCTTGGGGGTAAAATTGGGGGTAAAAATCAAAATCCTTTCTTAGCGGATGCCTCATCATAAATTCTACTTGCATGCCAAATTTCAGCCCGATCCGTCCAGTGGTTTGAGCTGAGCGTTGATAGATCACTATGTCAGTCAGTCAGTCACCTTTGAATTTTATATATATACTCGTATATAGATGATGTATTATGGTTCTGTGTAGGGTTGCAACGATATATCGGAATATCGATAATATCGAGACCAAAATATCGATATTTATATCGATATTTAAAATTCACTGATATCGATAATATCGATATCGGAAATTCCAAAATATCGATATTTCGTAGACTAAATTTAAACACAATAATATCAATTAATTTACCTGCTATGACTATCTAAATTGAATAATATCGAAATAACTATTGCTTTGAAATCGCAAGAGCTTATAGATGTATTAAAAAAATCTTGAACCCCAAGAAATATACTAAACTGGTGTGGATTCTGGCATGATTCTCTCAACCTAAAATTAAATTTGACAACAGTGTATCCTTGTCATTCTCTATACAGAATGACAAGGAGAGACTGATGTTAAATTTAGTTTTAAGTTTAGATAATCATGCCAGAATCGACACCAACGTATATAGGTATAATCGTATACCTAATGGTAACTCATGCACTTAAATAAAATTTCTTGCCTCTCTTTCTAGATAATTGTCAACTACTGATTAATTGAAATTAAATATCATTGTAATATAACACAAAATAAAATTAAGAATCTTATACAAATAGTAAATTTTTAAGCTCGCCAAGTCAAGAAAGTAAGATAGGTATAGTAATTTTTGAAGCTTTAGGCTTACCCTATTCTGAAGCCATGGGCACGCCCCTGATGTGTGGGAGACTAAGCAATTTGCGTATTTGATGTGCGCTAAAAAACCGACATAGCTTGGAAAAGCACGAATGTAGTGAAAACTTAGAGAAGGCATTCGCAAATGTCGTCCCACATATGCGGGTTGCCGCATTCGTGCTAACAAATGTGAGTGATCTGATCAGGATAATAATTTTAATTTTTTGGTTTCCTGTCGTGGCTGAAACACAAACCGTACGAGCCAAAAAAAATCCTGCTTGGCGCGATTTCATCAAGCATGTTTAAAGAAAAAGCTGGCTCAATGCATTTTGCGAGAAACTCGCCAACAAAAATATGAATGTGTCACACTCACCCCGTATTCTAATGTTTATAAAAAAAGAGAAAAAAAAATCGATATATCGATAATATCGAGTTCAAATGGTCGATATATCGGATATCGATATTTACCTGACTTCGATATAAATATCGATATTTCAAAAGACTTTGCATCCCTAGTTCTGTGGATATATAGATATAATAGAGTGGGTATTCATGTTTTATCTTGTTACACTTACATCGAATCCGGGTACGTAGCCCAGCGGGTACAGGTAGTCGTCCAACATCGGGTCGAGGATAAAGTTCAGACCCTGCGAGATTCCAGCGCTCATTTGTCTTTTGGCACTAGCTATAGTTCTTTCTGGACTGAAAATATTCAATCATAATCATCAGCCTTTTGATGTCCTCTCCGCGAGGACACACGCCTTCCCTATGGACGGAAGATTGGGCTATGATCCACTACGCAGGCTCAGTGCTGGAACCAACGACTTGGCGTGCTTTCCTAAGCTAGGAGGAGCTCGAGATATTAAGATTTCGGTCACCATTCAATGACCATTTCGAAAATTTCTTAACTCACACGATCGTACCCCAAATGCAGTACCTGCGCCATCGAGCTCTACCCAATAGCTTATTGCAATTAAAATATTCGATAGGAACATGTTAGTACCTATTTTGTGCCTATTAGTCAAGTGGTACTATCATCTAAATTACTCTGTCCACTGATTCATCTTTGATACTGATTAAGTTTTACCATCTACATATCGTTTTTTTTTTATAGATAGGTCCGACAAATGACTCCACCCCATCTGATGTTAAGTGAAGGTGAAGTCCAGACGCGAAGATAGATAATGCTCTAAGGGTAGAAACTGTGTAGGCAACAAACAAGTGATATTCTAGTATGGTAAGCCACTTGCTCGATGGCGCAGGCCATATGCCTGCTATCGTGAAAGTTAAGCAACTTTCGGAATAGTCGGTCATTGGATGGGTGACCAAAAAGTTATTACCTCGAGCTCCTCCGTGCTTCGGAAGGCACGTTAAGCCGTTGGTCCCGGCTACATCTGCAGTCGTTAGCATCCACTGAGCTCGCGTGGTGGGACACTGCCACAGTCTTCCATTTCATCCATAGGCAAGGCCTGTGCCCCTGCAGTTAGGATATTAATAGGCTGATGATGATGATGAAGCCGCTTATCATCAGGGAGATAGATCATACGCTTGTTCGTTTTTGCCCTGTTATCAATATTCTACTCTAATATTTAAGAAATGTTAGGTAAATGATTAAAAATTCGATCTGCATTACCTGCGTCATCGATCTCCTCGCAAGTTCTAAAAAGTTGCCATTACAAAATGCTACAGAATCGCTCTGCTGAAGTCAAAATCTGTAGTAGGAGTAGTTTTGCTTCGCCTGGGTTGGGAGCCAGCAGTTTGGAATTATATGGGAGAAGAGGATAAATATGTAGATTTGTATACCTAAGTTATTATACACAAAATTACCTTCCTGCGGAGTCATAGTCGAGTATAAAGTTGAAGGCACAGCAATGTCCCTTGACTGTGCGCCGCACCGTGAAGATATCGGAACATTTCACTAACTCGCCAGCCCACGCGCAACGAAGTAGCATGTCCGAGCAGCTGGGGGCCAGCTGTCATAAACAAGTTCTTCAGTGTAGGAGATGGGGTCGGGGATAAATTGTAATGGAGAAATTCTTTAGCGCAGAAGATGAGGTCAGGGATGTAACGGAGAAATTCTTTAGTGTAGGACATAGTGTCAGGGAAAAAATGTAATGGAGAAATTCTTTAGTGACGGAAATGGGGTCAGGGATAAAATGTGATGGAGAAATTCTTTAGTGTCGGAAGCGGAAATGGGGTCAGGGATAAAATTTTATGTAGAAATTCTTTAGTGTATGGGATGCAGTCAGGAATAAAAATATCATAGGAAAGTTTTATAGTGCACTAGATGCAGTCAGGGATTAATATCATGGAGAAATTCTTTAGTGACGGAAGCGGAAATGGGGTCAGGGATAAAATTTTATGTAGAAATTCTTTAGTGTATGGGATGCAGTCAGGAATAAAAATGTCATAGGAAAGTTTTATAGTGCAGGATGTGGTTAGGACTAAAGATTTCATGGAAATGTTTTTAAGTGTAAGTGTAGTAGTGTGTACACGGGCCGCACGCCACAGCCACAAACGCCGCCACGAGAAGCTAGAAGCGGCTACTAAAGTGGCTGAAGCGCGCGACAGCGGCCGACTAAGGTAAGGGAGAGAGGGGTGGGGAATCGCGCGAGTGACTTGTGGCGGCGTTTTGTATCGGCGCATTAAGTGGCCGGTGCGGGCCACAAGAAGCGAGCAACGACGATTTGTAGCGTGTGGCGGCCACCGGCGTACCGTGTGTGGCGAGTCCATATAAAATGTATGAAAACTGCAAGAAATATGCCGGTGGTGGCGTTTTGTGGTTGTGGTCGGTGGCCCGTGTGCGCCGACACTATGGGATGGATTTAGGAATAAAAATGTCATAGAGAAGTTCTACAGTCCACGTGATGCGGTCAGGTATCAATGTCATGGATAAATTCTTTAGTGTAGAAGATGGTTTGGAGATAAAATCCCGTGAGTGATATTCTGGTATCGCAAGCGTCTGTAGCATATGGTGGCAGCCATAGAACACAGAAAGAGGTTAAAAAGACTTTGTGGGCGGAGCGGGCGCGCCACAGTTATGTGTGAGCAAATGTTCATAACTTGACCAAAACTTGATTCTGCTTGCGTCGTTGCTCTCGGGTGCGAGCGCTAATTGGTTCGATTGTTTGATGTCCAGTTGTTTGATTGACTATTAATTATCTACAAGGTGGTGGTGCAGTGGGGTGAGCCGGCGACATTGGTTTCCGTACAAACGGTCTATGATCATCCTTCTAACCTCTTTCTATTTTCTGTGGTGGCAGCTTACTATCAGGCGGCTATGCTATAGGCAACCCTTATTGCATGAAACAAGACGAATAAGCATGACCGTGATATTGGCCACAGCTGCATCTGACTGATTTTAAAAAGAACTGGTTGGTTTTGCTAATCTAGTTTAAGGACGAGTATTCAGTTGACTAATGAATATTCTTAGATAAGATGCTGATTTTCATGAAGTGACATATTATCAAATTGATGAGAACCCAAAAGCACTCACCCAAAGATCAACGAAAACGATCGATTCTGGACGTTGCATACCGCACAAGAGGAATTTATCGATGGGAATATTAATTAAATTCTACTTTGTTAAATGTGGCTTTTTTTTCTTTATTTAATGGTAAAGAATGAGGTGAGATAGGAACTTTGTGGTCTCATTCGACCCCACCGAATTTTCATGGGGATTGAAATTAATTTGAGTTCCCAACGGACTACAAGGGGTACGCTGGGAACAATTCAAATGCTGTTTAAAAAATGTGTCCGTAGTATAGAAACTCTGTTACAATTCATTTTAAATTATGGTTCAATTATAATTTTACCAACCTCTTTCATCTCTGTTAACAACATCTCATCTATCATCTCATGATCAAAGATTACTGAAAACGGGTGATTCCTGAAGTCCTGTGTCCAGGTGGAATCCACGAGTCGGCCTAACTGCCCGTAAAGCTTTTTGAATTCTCTAAATGTCTGATTGGCTGATGCTGATGCCGTGTTAGAGATGAACCTTGACCATCTGTCAATAAAAGTCAAAATATATGACTAGTATATGATCACGTTTGACACTTTCACAGTTTTCGGTCATTGGATGAGTGATAAAACAAATACTTTCTCGAGCTCTTCCGTGCTTCGAAAGGCACATTAAGCCTATGGTCCCGGCTGCAACTGCAGTCGTTAGCGCCCACCATTCCGCACTGTGCCCGCGTGGTGGGTCATGATGGGCTCATGGCCCAATCTCCATATTCCATCCACAGAGAAAGCCTGTGCCCCAGCAGTGGAGACATTAATAGGCTGATGATGATAATGATGTGATGGATCCGCAGCGGAGATTCTAGCACGAATACCTAAAGTTATACCCGGGCAATGAAAGCATGCCGGGTAGTTTTTACCAAAGTAGTTTTAGTGTTTTACCAAAAAGTACCAACAGCATTGTTTCGGCTGTTTTTCGAACTTTATATATATACGATTTAAATTTTTGTAATCAGAAAACTTAATAGAAATTAATACATGTACATACATGTTTAATACAATATGGAATAATGATTAAATGATTTAGAATAATGTATGTAATTAATAATGTTTAATTTAAATTTTGACGAAACGTAAGTGGATTTAACTGTAATTAATAATCTATGGGACATGTATTTGAATGTATACCAGTGCCTAAAATAAAAATGATTTATTTATTATTTATTTATTATTATTATATAGTAATCGTGAAACTCTATACTTGATTTTTGTGTAGGTACTAACGTTATTATTATGGTTTATTTTAAGGTTCCGCAGTCTTGACAGGGAAACCCTTATTAACCCTTATTATTAAGTTTCGTCATTTCCTTCTGTCCGTCCCCGGCTTTGCTTGAAGACTTAGCACTAGAGAGCTGTAATTTTGTGGAGACATTATATCAATCACGCCGACAAAAGGTAGAATAAAATTTTGAAAAATATTTTTTGACATGACAACGTCTTATAATTCGATAGAGCCGGCTGCACGCACGAAAACAAATGACTCATGCGGCGTTACCTCGCTCTGAGGCGTTCCATTTAAGGTTTGAAGTGCAAGCGAGAGCGCGCAACGAGCGACAAAGAGGCACAATCGGCCTCCGCGTTCGGCAGCGTTCGACATCTGTCTCTCTTCTACTTGACTGAGCGATGCGTCCGCGTGGACAGCTCTATACAATAATACATTAACATGTTTTCGTCAAGTATGAAGTGCAGTGAAAAGTGAATGTGGTGTCAATTGTTTATAGCAACGATAATTGCGGCGATAAAGGTAATGATTCTTTCGATATTAAATATATGTTCAGTGATATATTGTCGAATATTCGTGCTTTCATCATTTAAATAAATAGCATTGGTCCGCTGCTACAGCGATTGTAGGTTATGCTATAATTAACAAAACTATAACAATAAGTTAACAGAACTATTTCGTGACATTTAATTAATATTGAATAGAAGTATGTACATTGTAAAAAAACGTTGTCACGTTCAACTATCGTCAGTAAACCGACTTTTCAGACAAGATTTTTTTTACAAGTAACCTGGGGATGTCATTTTTTCACGCACGGGCGCTCCAATTTTATTGGAAAGTCCGCTGTGCACTACCTCTCTTAAGTGTTTAGGTTTGGTAGGAAAGACAGACTTACAGCATTTCGGCGCGCTTGTTAAAAGTTTTCTTGCTGATTCTGTTGATGTTGCAGATGGCAATGGCTGGGAAGTCGATCTCACTGATGGGGTAGGTGGAGGACTCCATGGTGACGATCAGGGGCTTGGTGAGCGTGTCGGACCAGATGTGCACGAGGAAGTAGCATGTGGCGACCACCATTGCTGAGAAGGCAGCTATCCATGCCAACCTTGTATAATTTTAACTTTTTCGTTTAAAATCATCATCGATTTGGTTTAACTAAATATCTTATTAGGTAGGTACTACATAAGTGTCCACCATTTCGTATGCGTAGTAAAACTTTGTAAGGTACTTGTGGCGGCTACATCTACATGCCCCACATATAACCAACATGGAGGCGAGGCGAGTGATTGATTATTACTCGCCTTCAAGAGATGGCGCTACTGGCGCTGCGATCAATAAGTACGATGCCTACATCGCGCAAGGGAAATTCGGAGGCGAACACTTAATATATACAATGCCGACCAACATCAGTCGGGCCGCGGCCCCCGAACTAACATCACCCAGCTCGCAGGAAGATCTTCCCCTTTGGCCTTTCTACATACATACTTATACAAATTCACTGTTTCATCAGAAATTATTGGTATGTTTAGAACAAAATTGTTGATAATCACTTTTTAATTGTCACTTGAAGAAAATTTTAGCAGAAAATAATCCACTCTGTCTAAACCTCAGCCAGGATTCGAATCTGCACCTACCGCTATTATCTTCCGTCTCTCTTCAATAGTTTAGGCGTGTCAATGTAACAACGCGATTCTTATAATGAATGTAGCATTAATAATGAAACCTGTAGTGTCCAATATTGTGTGCGAATATTTCCTTGACCCCCGCTATGGAGCTGTGGCTGGTGTACTCCGCCGCCGTGTCGAAGGCACTCTTGCGAAGTATGTTCTCCATGTTCATTCGACGAGACCGTTTACGTCTGTATGTCTCCCACCACACTTCTTTAGCTCGATCCATGTCCTACTATAAAAAAAATTCGCCTCTGGATTTCAGCAGGGTGGCAGGGTGCTGCCAGCGGAGATGGGCCTGAAAAGTTATCTAATCATACTTTTCTTTTTTGACGATGAGAAATCCCCCATTGCCGGACCGTACCGTGTGCTGGAGAGACGCGCGCGGGGGGGTGGGGGGGTGGGGGGGGGTGTATAAACACTTTTTGGATTTATACCTTCATTTTAAATCTGTAATATCTAAAGGGCCAAATTGATCTATATTACATGCACAATGTATTTAAGCTACTTAATCGGATAAGGATGAATGTTATATTGCTGAAAATCGCTTTGTAAATAAGCTATTATTTCTCGTAAAAAGTATAGGAGGTAGATTTATACCATGGCGGACTTTTTTGTAGACCTTTTTAAGGTGTACAATACTGTAGTACGTTATATTGATCTATCTCATACAGTACAGCCAGCGTTTGCAATGCATGCGCAAAAAAATGAGTTTATTTACCTTACATTAAAAACCTCTAAAATTATCAGTGTTTCTCTACTATATTATACATATAAATCTTCCTCTTGAATCACTCTATCTATTAGAAATCCGAAACCGCATCAAAATCCGTTGCGTAGTTTTAAAGATCTAAGCATACTTAGGGACAGACAGCGGGAAGCGACTTTGCTTCATACTATGTAGTGATGACACAGCTATTAAAATATGAGTGGACGTTGTATTAGTAGCGACATTATTTTATGTAAATATTGGTAGTTTTGTTAGGCTGATGATGATCTCTTGCGCCCATTGTTCTCATCAGCTGCATAATTTCCAGAATGGGAAAGGTAAAAAAAAATGGAAGTTTCAATAGAGCTTTTATTAAGTGAATTTGAATAAAGTATGTATAATTTCATTTTATTTTATTTCTGACAATATTACTTTGATTCCGGTGTCAATATCCAATAAGATCGCTAATGCTAGCTGGAATACCTATATTTTTCCCCATAGTAAGTTATGATTGAGCGTATCAAAAGCACGAGTCAGATCTAGACTAAGTACTCACTGCAGAGTATTGTTATTTGGATGTGGCTGCACTATTTCCTAGCTCCTAATAGCTTTCCTAGCTGGACCTTTCTTAAAATGCACTCCCGGACTTTATTTCGATATTGGTGTAATAATAATAATAGGTATAGCCTCTTTATTTCCATAATGAACAAGTAATAAATATCATAGAATTATCATCAATACATGCATGAAACAATAAAAAATTACAACAATTAATATTATAAATTAGATTAGATTACAATTAGCATTTGTTAATTTCATTTCATACAATTGTCAAAAAATAATAAAAATGGGTGCGTGTACTTATGTAGGCGCGTGAGAAGTTATCCTTCTTTGGCATCGTTTAAAATTAGTTTTTAATTGCATGCAAATAATTAATTACAATAAATTAATAAAAAGTCTGGAAAAGGACACAGTCAATAAAGTTCAGTTTTAATTTGAAAAAATAAATAAATAATCAAAATATTCAATTAAAATCGCTACTGAATATTATTTATTAGAACATATGTGATTTGCACTTGTATGAAACTCAAACACGTATTCCGAATATACAAACTAGAAACATGTGGATAAATATTATAAATATGAATACCTGTAACTGTTACTTTATTACAAAAAATAAAGATGTGGTTTTTGGTTCTACTACACCAATGGTCAAGAGATGGCGCTGTAGTCTCCTGAATCGCGCTTTGGTTCCGTTGTTCCAGATTAATAAATACTTTTGATAGGCCTTCACAATGCAGTCGTTAGCACCCACAAAATAGAGATTCTATTTTGTTGGTAGATTTTCTTAATGTGCGGTAAACACAAAAGTAACAGCATTTTAAATAATAATTAAATGTCAAAGTAGTTAATAATTGAATGTCATTATGGACCCCTCAACGAGTAAAGGCCTCCTCCATTTTGCCCCACGTCTGTCTGTCCTTTGCTTTTGCGGTCCAATTTTCACCAGCCTTTCTTATTATTTCATTAACCCATTTTTCTCTCGGTCTACCTCTTTGCCTTTTGCTTATTTTTTGTATATCTACTTAAATTGTTGGATTGAATTGGAAATCATGCACGAAAGTATCTATGACAAAACCGTGATTAATTTAATGTTTGTAATACATACTTACCCAATGTCTACACAGGCAGTTGGAAAGTATCGAATGAATTTAGAAAGGGTTTCGCTACTTTGATTTGAACTTTGTGCCTCAGAATACAACAACCAACACAGCAGGCTGATGACAACGATCAGATACAAAACGCAGTGCAAGTCGGACTCGCCCACCGAGGGTTCCGTAAAAATTTTGCAGGGAGACCGGGGATGGTTGACTCACTATAAAAAACTCGGACTTATTTAAAAGAGTTGCGTCATCGAACCAAGACTTTAAAAATCGTTACCTACCCCCCGCTCAGTCAAAGCGGACACGGCATCGCGCACTCACGTTGTCTAAGGCATTGTCCTAATACAACTCGATAACGCGAATGAGTGATGCGATCATCGTACGAGTCGACGATCAAACATATTGATCTAGAATACGTGTCCTAATAGCCGATCGCGCGATGCATTCGCGCGACTAAAATATTTAAAAATCTATTCGCGCGAACTGGGTTCGCGCGAACGCGCAATCAAACCTGTGAATGATGAATAGGTGTCCTAACTGAAGTTCGCGCGATGATCGCGTCGCGTCGATAGGAAGCGGGGAGAGGGGCAGGGCTAACCCGTTCCGTATTCGCGTTCTATTAGGACACTCAGTTCGCGATCACGCGATGGTCGCGTCGTTTAAACGCGCGATGATCGCGTTATCGCGTTTTATTAGGACAATGCCTAAGAGAAGATGCGTATAATTGAAAAAGTATATACGTAAGTAATAATTTATCCGTGTTAATATTATTTCCCGTGACGCATCTATAATTGTAACTGTTTATTTTTTAGATATTTAAAGGAAAAGTTTGATTGCTCATCTATGTATTACGTATCATTCTTTTCGATTTCGATGGGGTAGGTTGATTCTACGAGATCGTGTTTGCACAATAAAATATAATTAATGGCGAGGTTTGTGACATTGGTTTTAAAACCTTAACTGCCTTATTCTAAAACGCGGACTAAAATTAGTAACGGTTTAAACCTAATGTTGTCTCTGTCTTCTTTTTAGCAAACAAAAATGACAGCTTCGGATTTGATCCAGGTTTAACTTTAGTCAACGTTTTGTTATAAGGCGGTTTTAGTTTATCCATCAGATGTTTTAGATTTTGCAATAATATACACTACCTATATAAAAAAAATAGCCATCTAAGCCGAAAATTGGTCATCCATCCTCGGTCTCCCCTACGCAACATAAATGATCGTATATATTCTTTAATTTTTCACAGCTTCAAGGAACCGTAGACTTTACTATATGGTTTAAATTTAAAACTTGATATCTCCACGCGTTCTCAAAATAAAGGCCTTAGCCAGACGGATAGGTAAACGGCCGTATCCTTTGCGCTGAACGCGGCAGTACAGGTCAATTGTAGTTTGACCTAGCTAAGAAGTTACTGGCTAAGTTGGCTAAGTAAGCAACAGTGAGGGTGGATTCAGTGGATTGGCAGTATTTCTCACAGAGACGCGTGTAAAAAATCTGTACATTTACATTCACTCGATTAAGAATCTGTACAGAATCGACAGAATCGATCGATCGAATCGATTACGAAATGAAAACGCACCGATTTACCTTTACCAGTACCTTTAGCACGAACCACTATCGAATTCGAATAGTTTGCGAGTGCGAAATGTCATTGTAAACTTTATATGGAAACTTGAACAGCAGCGCCACAAGGACGTAACGAGAACTAAAAATCAGTACACATTTGACAATAACATTTCGGACTCGCAACCTGTTCGAATTCGATAATGGTTCGTAAGAATACAGATAACAAAACATTGGTCGTCGAATAAATATCAAAATAGTCATTCAACCCTAATTCTGATACTTAGCGTGTCATGAATTGCTGTGGGCCTTGAATATTTTATCACATTCGTGTTAACATGAAATTGTTTTACACACATGCAGAAATTGGCCTTCATATTATTTTGCGTGTGGCCACTTTGTTAAAACTCTTTGAAAGTAGGGTTAGGTTTGTCCCTACTGCGGCAGTCACCGGGACATCAACGAAAATGAGATAACGACGCGCCGAGGTAGCGACAGCATGCGCTGCCATTCGAACAGGGTACCGCATGTCACCCGCACCAGGAGTGCGCGCATTGGGGGGACTGCGGTACTCAGAATGCGAGCTTGGTGACCGGTGCAGGAATATTGTCTAGGTTTTAGTGGCCCTGTTCAGGGCGTAGGTAGGGCCCTGTTCCAGCCAGCCAGCCCTAAGGCTCGCTGAAGTGGGCAGGGAAGAGTCCCACATACCTTCTTCTCGCTGCCCCAGTGGTTGAAGGATGCGTAAGGCATTTCCAAGACATAAAAAAATAGGTAGCGACACCATACATAACTTATCAGTACCCCTAGCATGAATCAATATCGAATTCGTAACGTTTGCGTCCGAAATGTCATTGTCAAATGTGTACTGATTTTTAGTTCTCGTTACGTACTTTGTGCCGCTGCTGTTCAAGTTTCCATACAAAATTTGACATTGACATTTCGGTTTGCAAACTATTCGAATTCGATAATGGTTCGTGCTAGGGGTACAGTGCATTTCAGTAGTATTTCTTGATAGCTAACAGCGCTGTCCCCAACAGCGGGTGACAACTGACAGATGGAAAGATAATTTCTAAGGATAATTCCCTGATGTCAACCCGGGGGACAGCGCTAGTGGGAAATGCTAAATTGCTTTGCTGGTAATAATTCGAACGCACCCAAATGGTAACAAAAAATCCATATTACGAATGCTCCGCTGTTTATCCATCCGTCTGTAAGCGAATGTGTGTGAATTGTGTTACACACACACACACATTCGCTAAAGCTCAAAGTCAGTTGTAGTTTGTGATAATT